TCTGTCAAAGCCTCGTGCTGCGTACTCTCTCGCGGACTCTCTCTCTCGCACCGTCACCTCTCATTGGCCAGTGTTTTTCGTTAATAACTCGTAAACAAAGCCGCGGATTGCATTTTCGCAAAGGAAAAAGTTACTTCAAATGACCTCAGCTACCCCTCATTTTCGGCTGTTAAAATAATTGTGGGACACCCTGTATATATATATATATATATATATTGAATAAATCTGTGGCGGCTACTTCCAGACCTGCCAGCAGAGGGCTCCTCTTCCCGCTAGTAACCGATCCGCCTCGATCCCTATATATACAGAGACTTCGTCCTACCCCCACGTCTAAGGCAAGGGCCCGCTAGGATAGCCTTACTAATGAGTCCTCTAGCGGGCCCCGGACGAAACGTCTCTCCTCTCCTTTTCCCAACCAAACGCACACTACGACCGCCGTCAAAAATCTAAAAATAATCTTTTCAAAATTTAGATGGAAGGTTCGAAAAAGCAGACATGTAAAAAGCGTCGAGGGGGTCGTAAAACGAGATATTATCGAAAGGTCCGTGCATTGAAAAAGGAATTCTGCGTTAAATTTGAACAACGGCTACGTGACATCGAAAGGGAGCTGGCTGAAGAGTCTCTGAAGCCTAATCCGATCCCGGACTCTTTCCCGTCTGTAGAGGTTTACGACCCAGTGTCGACTAAAGAACGGGCCAACGACGACGATATCGGGATACTGTTTGAAAATGAAAATCAACACAACCCTGATTAGGATCCCGAATATTTTAATATAAATTTACTAAACATTTAATAACTTCGACAATTAAAGTTAATTTTGTTTTTGTTTTAATAAACCAGTACAATAGAGTCTTGGATGGGTGGTAAAACCATTTATTTCTTGATTCCCTTCAATTTCTCGAACCGCAACCGGTGTAAGCTGGCAGGTTCGAAACTGCGAACAATTCATTCATTCAATTCAACGATCGTAACACTAATACCGCACACCGACTCGTGTGTCAAGTGCCGAGTGGATAATCGTGATATTTCCCCTCCTTAGATTTTCGTTACTCCGAAACGAACTCGCTTCCTTCGAAGTGGTATGGTGCCAAATGGTTGTAGGTCGGTTTCCTGGATACAGCTGAGCGAGATCTCTGTGTGTTCTCCCTTCAATGGCGTGGTCGATATTTGCGTGGGAATTATTATTACAACAATTTTTACAGAAAATTAACAATGTGTTTCCGTTACATCGAAATAATTTAGCGAGTCCGTATAATATGATGGTTCCTAGTGAAACATATCCCATTATTTGTAGTATCGACATAAATTTCTCTTTCCAATTTTTAATACTTCGAGAGCTTTCTGTTGCATGTAGGTTTTGTATCGTGTCTTCTAGATTGGTTTTATATTCTGAGTGTGAGTGGCGTTTGTGTCGTATGTGGTCCGTCATCATGTCTATTTGTTCTGTAGAAAAGTTGAAGTCTAACGGTTTAAGTTTTGTTGTATATATAAGTGTTTTCTTACTTTCCGCCTAATTTCATTAAAGTGTTCGTGGTAATTATTGTACAATCGTCTTCTGTTTGTAATAATGTCGGAATGCTGAGTTTAACTATTGTTTGGTTGTTACATGACATGTTAAGTTCTATTTCAGTCTCAGATATTATAATATAATTTCCTACTTGTTCTAATGGTATATAAGTGATTTCCTTAATTTTAAATAACGCTGTGTTCCAAATATTCTTGCTACTGGTTCTTTTTAATATCTCACTTTCCCAATTGGAGGTGTGTGATACAGCTAAGTTAGGCATTGTTTGTTTACAAATAGGTATTGGTCCATTTAATTTACATTTCCGGATTAAATATGTGGAAACCACTGGTATATAATCATATTGCGTTGGCAGCATAATATCACATTCAATTGTTGGTGCTGTAAATACTTTCTTGCCGTTGATTTTCAGAATTGGATACAATCATCTAATTTTCCATTCTATGTCTTCCAGCAGGGATATTTTTATGTGATAAAACATTTCACTGCTTAACATTTTACAACTGTACATTGATTGAGATTTTGCTAATGTCTAAAATTAGTCTAACGTTTTTCTCTATAGGTTCTATAGTCGATTTTAATCTGTTTTCTTTTAGTAAATTCACATATCCATCCAAGAATACTTTGTTTGTCAAAATGTCGGGGTGTTATTCCTTTCTGCCCTATAAGAATGGCTGTGTTCAATGTGTATCTATTTATTCTATTCTTTCAAATATGATTGCTTGGTCATAGGTCAAATATAATTGACCTATGTTCTCCACTTGTGTTTTGAGCTGGTTTTGCGAATTCTGTATTTCGTAATTAACACTATGCCGTCCGGTGGCACCACGCTGGTGCCATGCAAAAACTATCTGTTGTATGCCGGTGGTACCACTTTGGTGCCATTTTCAAAAACTGAAACAACATTTGAACTATATTTCTTGGCTGTTAAAAGGCAGCAAACTAACTATAGCATTGTGCTTATTTAACTAAGAATTAAGTACGAAAGTTCTTGGATGACATATCTTAATTTTAGGAATTTATATTACCGCCATCTTTGAAATTTTTGTTTAAAATCTACAATTTCCAAGCTATTATGCCGGCGTCAAACAAAAGAATCATATCTAAGATCCGCGAACGGCATAGTGTTAAGTATTGCTTTTATAATTATAGTCTGGTTTTGTATTATGTGGTTTATTGTGTTCTGTTGGTCGAATAGTTTATTTATGTTGTGATGGATCAAAGATAAGTCGTCTTTGTCTAGGGTACCGAATAGTGTCTTAGAAATAATGCCTACAAAGTTGAGTAATCCTCCTTGGTTCGCATGTGTAATAAATATTTCAAATGAATAATTTTAGTCCCCAAAATGTTAAGTCTGGATAGTATGCTTTTGATTCCTAAACTTTATACACATTTCGCTTCACCGCATAATATGTCCTAACAGTGTTACAGGAATTTACAATGGTTTTATCTAATTCTATATATGATTTGATATCTATTCCTATGATTATGTTAATTTCCTTATGATACAAAAATAAATGTCTTACAAGTCTTCTTACTATTATTTAGTAATTACTATTAAATAATTACTATTATTTAAAGAGGTTAAAGTAAAATTATGTCCTAAGGTGATTAGTATTCCCAATATAATCCCGTTTTGTATTATCTGAAATAAGATTAAGATTTATAGGGTTTTAATCGATTGCCATGTACCTTGAATTCTTTGCCGTTCGTCATAGTGTTACGGCGACTTGTCCAGATCAAGTCGCTGTAATGTGAAACTGCCCTGATGTGAACAACTTCTTAAAAAATAATAGAAGATAGGGGTTGCCACGGATGAGTGTTACCAACAGACAACACTGTCCGACACGATTTTTGAGTTCCTATAGCCACTATGAAATTCTTGTAGAGCTTCACTCCCTGAACAAGAATCCGAAAACCGAATTGCTTCATTACCCTCAGTTTTTTAAATAAACGAACTTTTGTAAAAACCCAAAATTTTCGACAAAAATGAGGTATTGCATGAAAAGTACAAACGTTAGAAAGTTTTAATTGGTGTTAAAAGATAGAGAAGAGTTTTCCGAATATAGTGGCATGCAATTTATTAATTGTTTCTGGTCCTAAATAGCAATAAATTGATGTCAAAGTTTAAAAAAGTGTCGACGTGAGCAGTTTCTGCGCAATATTTTTGTATTTTTACGAAAAGTTTTTTGTTCGGCACGAAAACTCTACCCAGGATCGGATTCTGTGGACATTTCTGAAGAAGAAACGGTCTGATGGAGGGATCCAATGGGGCACCCACTTAGCATGTTGCCGACGAACATTTTCTCGATCTATTCAAAACTGAAGGTGATGGTGCAATTCGGTTTTCAGATTCTTGTTCAGGGAGTGAAGCTCTACAAGAATTTCATAGTGACTATAGGAACCCAGAAAAAAAAGTTTGATTTTGTCGGACAGTGGCAATCGAAGAGTCGAAATCGGACCGTCGAACGAGCAACATTTCAAATTGAAAGATCTGAAATATTGGGTTGGCAACTAAGTAAATGTCAATTTGTTCAATGAAATAAAAAATTTTTTTTACTTGGAACGAAGTTTAATCTGTTATGTATTTTCCATTTTGTTCGATGACCTTTTGCCATCTCTATATCAACTTGAAAATTCCACGCTCGTAGAAAGTCTGATCCTTTTCGGCCAAAAACTGAGTTAAGTGAGATTTTACAGCGTCATCATCGTTAAAAGTTTTACCACGAAGGGAGTTGTCCAGGAATCGAAATAAGTGGTAATCCGATGGCGCGAGATCAGGGCTATATGGTGGG